GCCCTCTGCCACCCGGGAGCAGGCCTAAGCCAGCAGGTCGTTATCTCCCAAGGGGTCCCAGACTGTGAGAGGGCACAGGCCGGGCTGAGGGAGCCCCCCTCCCCCCCAAGTGCACAAACTTTGGTGCACCGGGCCTCTAGTTATATATATATATGGCTAATATACTAAGTGTCCAACTGTTCGACTGGTAGCTATGACACGCACTGACTACCAGGGCATAGATGCTCAATGCACAGACATGGAAACATGGAACAGACTGATGAATCTCAGAGGGAAGGGGGGAGGGGGGAGGGTGGGAAGAGATTAATCAAAGATCTTATATGAATACTAGAGGTCCAGTGCATGGATTTGTGCACCGGTGGAGTCCCTCGGCCTGGCCTGCAGGGATTGGGCTGAATCCGTGCACCAGGCCTCCAACATCCCAAGGAGTCCCAGATTGTGAGGGCGCAGGCCAGGCCAAGGGACCCCACCAGTGCACGAATCCATGCACCGGGCCTCTACTAAGTTAATAAAAAGGAATAGCTTTAAAAAATATTTTATAATACCAAATAGTGATCACAGTAAAATACAACAGTCAAATATATTTTTTAAAAACTAGTGTTTGAAAGTAGCTTCAATTTGATATCCTCCTTTTTAGCTTTCATTGGGAAATATTCTACTTTCATCTTAAAATCTTATTTCATTTTCAGGAAATCCATTATCCACTAATAGTAAACTTACTGTTTCATTGCAGGCTTAAAACCTTATTCTGATGTGAGATGTAGTATTATTTTAATAGAAACAGTGTATAACATAGGAAATATTTTATTTTTTTTAGAAACATATATTTTTTTACCTTCTATCTATATTTCCTGATTCTTTTTCACCTCTATTTTATTATCAAGTTACTTGTCACATAACTTCATACATAGAGGGACCTAGATAAATACTTATCTAGGTTGATATTTATTGTAATCTCTCATTTTTCTGCTTTTAACCACTTCAATGTTTTTGTAATAGCTCAGATTCCTAGGAAACCTTGGAATATAAATGAGAGGCAAGAGTAAAGAGCTCTATACCAGCGGTCGCCAACCTTTTGGATCTCACAGACTACCAGTGGTCCGTGGAGCACCGTTTCGCGACTGCTGGTCCATACAACACTGCCACCTTACCCTATAGTTTTATTATCTCTTACAGCTGCATTTTAATGACTGTATCAGGAGAATAAATACTTTCTAGAATGAGGTCATTCTCACCTCTTTTGTTAAAAACATCACTGTAGTACCCTGGCCAGTGTGGCTTGGTTGGAGTGTCATCCCATATACCAAAAGGTGGTGAGTTCGATTCCTGGTCAGGGCACATACCCAGGTTGTGGGTTCAGTCCCCAACTGGGGCCCATATGAAAGATAACTTATCAATGTTTCTCTCTTATATAGATGTCTCTCTCTCTCTCTCTCTCTCTCTCTCTCTCTCTCTGTCTGCTTCTCTACAATCAGTTTTTTTTAAAAATCACTGTTGTGATTCACCAAACGTATGATTCCACATTAGTGATTTATGTATATTTTGTATAAATAGTTGATCATCATTTCCTCAGAATATATTTTGCCAATAATAACCCAATAATAAATATTGTGATATATTTTGTGATGTAAGTAGTTACATAGTCCCGTTAGTCCTTTGCTTGTTTTTATTTTCTATGTTTCTCTGGTTGCAGACCAATTCACATGGTGAAACAGTGAAAACCTTGTATTTCAGCTACCTTGCAGTCCTTCAGAAGGTAGCTAACCACGTCTCGCTACTGCAGGCTGCTAGCACCTCCAAACAGCAGGTTTGTGTTGCCTTTTCAAAAGTCTGTTATGCTATCTGTTATAAATACTTTCTATTTTATACGAAATTTCCAACCAAATATCTTTATTTTTGTATGAAATTTAAGAGGAAACTGAGTTGCTCATTTTTGATTTGTGTGCCAAAGACCACTTAAGTTTTTAATCAAAGTGAGAAATTTTAAACAAGTTAAATAAGTCTTTCTTAAAATTTTATATTCAATTTATACAGGTTTAAATGTGTTAAGTTGATATTTCTCTTCATCTACCTCTTCCTTTTAAGGAAACACTTATCAAAAGGATATGTGATCAAGTTTTTTCCAGATTCCCAGATTTTGTGCAGAAAAGCAAAGATGCAGCCTTTGAAACACTTTCTGACCCAAAATACAGTGGAAAAATGAAGGTAAGTGCTCTTCTTCCAGTTTTCATATACACAAGGATGATATACAAAATATTTATCAAATGGTATGTGACAGGGACACCAGCTAATCAGAACAGATGCCCAGTCATTCAGAAGAGATGGTGGCCTCAGACAAATGGTCTAGTTGTATGTGTATTTAGTAGCTCACTATGAACCTGCATCTGGTGTGTTCTCAATTAGAAATAGTTTTATTAGATATACTTCAAACTTTGCTATTGTATTGGATTCGTATCCTCTTAAAAATGTATGCTGTTGCCACATGTGTAATAATTTGTCTTCAAATTTTTAAGGAGGTAATTTACCAGATCTATAAATGGTAATGCGAAATGGGAGGATGAGGATAGGTGGGAGCTCAGAATAAGAGAAAGAAGCTTCTTGAAGAGTTCTCTTGGTTCTCTATGAGAACTCTAAGGGTTTTCAAGGTCTTTATTCTAGACTGAATTTCCTGTCTCTTGATTTTACTTGCCAACCTAAATTGCAAGGTGCTGTATCTCATTTGTGCAAGGGAGCATTGTTGTAGACTGGGAAACTGACCTGGAGGTGTGCTCTTGGTAAGGAATTACTGAGGGAGGGTCTGAAAAGTAAGGCCAGGTTTCCCAACCATGACCCAGGTCTCTGGGCATTGCCTGTCACGGATGCATGAAATACAGTTTCTAGCCTCTTGTAGCAGAATTCAATTGTTTAACCCCTTCATAACTACCAAGAATCTTTATTTATGGATTTAAAGATTTTTACAGAATGATTTCCAACTTTATGTTTTAATTAGCAAAAAGTAAGTTTTTTCTTTTGGCATAAAAATAAGAAGGAAATAATTAAGGTAGGGTTTTTTTTCTTTGAAATACTGGAAATATTTTTAGCAGTTAATCTACATAAGTTCACCTAGTTTAGTTTGCCTGGATCTCTAAATTCAGTGGTATAATATGTAAACTAGGAAGATTACCTTAAAACCTTATGAGTGTATTTTTTTTAACTGAGATATAATTGACTGTAACATTGTATTTATGTATGCAACATAATGATTTGATAAATGCAACTATTTTGAAATGATTACCATACCACAATAAGTCTAGTTAACATCCATCACCTCACATAAGTACAATTCTTTTCTTGTGATAAAAACTTTTAAAATCTATTCCCTCCTAAATATACAGTATGGTATTGTTAACTACAGCCACTATGCTGTACAATATTTCCCTAGGACTTACTTATCTTAGAGAAGCATGTATCCTTTGACTACTTTCACCCATTTCATCTGTTCCATACCCTCTGCTTTTGGGACCACTAATCTGTTCTCTATCCCTCAAGTTTGATGTTTTGTTTTGTTTTAAGATTCCACATGTAAGTGAGATCATATGCTATTTGTCTTTGTCGGACTTATTTCACTTCACGTAATTCCCTCAAGGTCTATCTATGTTGTCTCAAATGACAGGATTGCCTTCTTTTTTGTGGCTGAATAATATTTTATCGTGTGTGTGTGTGTGTGTAGTTAAGCTAATAAAAGAGAAACATGCAAATTGACCATATCTTCGCTACACCCCAAGCAACACCCAGCAGCTACTCAGAGCGATTATATGCAAATTAACCCAACCAAGGTAGCAGCCGGCAGCCATGGAGCTGGAGAAAGCAGGAGGCTTGGTTGCCCCAATGATGGAGGAAGCCAAGCTTCCTGCCTGCCTGCCATGGCCGGCTCTGAGCTCCACTCCAA